GTCTGGAGAGTCTCTGCACTTCATCTTGGAGCTCACTGATTCAGTCCTCAGCAGTTGTTGCTCTGCTGCTGAGGCCTTCCACTGAGTTTTTCAATTTGCCTACCAGGTTTTAGAGGTCTGACGTTTCCATTTGTAATTTTGTTTGCATTTTCCACATTTCTACCTTTAAATCCTCTTGTATTTTATTGGCGGTGCTTTCCATTGTTTCTTTTAGCTCCCTAAGCATCCCCAGTAGCTCCCTTCTAAATTCCTTGTCAGAGAGGTTGTCTAGCACTTCATTGCTGTTGGGGTCTTCTTGGCTAGCCTATTCAATAAGTAAGCTTGGTGGGCTTCTGCGTTGTTTTACCATTGTGACATGTGTGGTTTAGCCCTTCACACTCACTGTGATTATTCTGCTTATGTATCACTGTCATCCTGTTGTTCTTTGATTGCATCGAGCATAACGTCTCCTTCGTCCTAGCCCTGAGATTTTAGAAGTGCCACATTTGAGGCTCTTTAAGGGCCAGGAGAATGAAACCCATCATTGTTCCTGGTTTTTGGCATATTAAATATGCCATGGCAAATTTGTCAGACTCTGCTGTGTGGGTATTTATTTATTTTGGTAGCCTGCCAGGTTCTCCAGAGTAAGAACTAGATAATAAGATGTCTAGATAATAAGACTATAAAACCCAGGTCCCGAAGAGAACAGGGCAGATTCTCCTCCCTCCATGCCTGGCTTTCCTCACCAGGGCCCCTTAGAGAAGGGTGGGTGGAGTTTCCCTCCCAACCCCAAGCAGAGCCTTGGCAGCTGAAGACCTCCAGTTCCAGCCACAGCCATGCTTAAGACCACTCTCCACACGTTCAGACAAGCCTCACACATGAAGGAACTGGCAGAGGAACCCAGGTGTGTGGGACCTGGAGCGTAGATCTTCAAGCCTGCTCAGATTGGGACTGGGCCTTCTCCACCCAGATCCCCCATCTTCCAGTAGCTAGGCGTTACACCACCAACTGCCCCCGGCGCTGTGTAATCCCATCAACGAACAAGACCCAGAGACTATAAAACCCAGCTCCTGGAAGCTTATGTTACAGTATTAATTGAGTTGGGCTTAATGAGTTATTGCCTAATGTGTTTCTGGTGGTTAAGATAACCTAGTGAAAGTTCCAACTAAGAGGGTAACTTATGGTTCTTATGGGATATGGCGCGGGAGAATAACTTGCAGCCAATAATGCGGCCATGGCTCCAGAAAAGAGGGCTGACACCAGGCAGGTACCTAGATGGGATGAGAAGAGGGTGCCCAGAACTTTGCAGCTTTGGGTCCACGTGGTGTGCCTCAATTCCCATACCCCGCAATTCAAGGGTGAAAACTGGCTCCCCTGGGGTCTAGATGCATGGCTCTGGGAAGGAGCTCTGACCAGGGGTGTAATTCTGAGACCTTGTACCTGCTTCGAGGCTACAATCTTCTTAAGCTGAGCACACCATATTGTGCTTCTATGTAAATAACATTTTTTTGCCAAAGTATTGTTGGTTTTGGACTTTTTTCTGTATATGCAGTACTTTTCCAAAAGACTCCTCAAAAACACTTTAAGTCACAATAACAGAGTAAAGCTCAGTCCTAGAATTTGAATCCCTGCAGGAGAAGGAAGGGGACATGCATAACTCTTCTAGCCATAACCATTACCTGATACCCCTAGTATGACCCATGTACTTTGTCGATGCAAACACCAAGTGAGAAACCGCTGGAAGAAGAAAGTGTTTGTTTTTATCTCCTCAAAAATCAGCCAGAACCACTTTCTACCAGACCCTCTAGGAGGCATAAGTTTTTCAGAGTCTCAATTTCTACTTGGCATCTACTGAATGTATTATATGCAGGGAAAAAAAACCTCTAAAACTAATGATTAAAAAAAAAACTCATGGTGTCAGTGACAGTTGTCACCACTCCAAACCTTTGTTAGTTTTAAGAGAACAATTTTTTCCATGCACTTCTGAACTCTTTAAAATAAAACCACTTTGATTCACGAAGCAATGAACTGAATTGTTGACTTTAGGTGTAATCTCTAGGTGCTTGGGGATGCTATTAATGTGAGGTCCCACTCTGTGTTGCATAAAGATTGCTTTCAGACACTTGTTATTGGATTTACACATGAAATACAACATGGTAATAAATATTAAAAACTAATCCTGGTTTTGTGACCACCTCCTGTGCTGTTTCTTTCAGATTATTAGATCCCCACCCTAATGTAGAGACAGTTCATCACAGCCCTCAAAAACATAATCTATCTCTCTCCAGAACCCTGACCATTTGGGTATTGGTCTGAAGATCAACTCCAAGGGGTTTTCATTTATGATCTTCTTGTTCCTCCTCCTCCACCTCCTCTTCCTCCTCCTCCTCCTCCTCCTCCTCCTCCTCTTCTTCTTCTTCTTCTTCTTCTTCTTCTTCTTCTTCTTCTTCTTCTTCTTCTTCTTCTTCTTTATTCTCCTTCTTCTGCTTCTTCTCCTCATCCTTCTCCTCCTCCTTTTCTTCTTCATCTTCTTTTGTGCTTTTGACCAACACCTGTCTTACCCTTGGCTTCGCATTCGGTGATCACTCCTATCTTTGCTCTGAAAACCTTATCGGTGCCAGGATCAAACTTGGGTCAGCACATACAAGGCAAGTGCCCTACCTGTCGTACTATGGTAATATTTCTTAAACCACATCAAGCTAGGGTTTGAGTACCTCTTCAAAAAATTGAGCCGGACTAGTTTAGAGTTAAATTTTAACTAAACTTTATAAAGTTTAAATTAAGTCCCAAAGTGATCATAAAAGCAGTTTGATCAACACACATACACGTGTAAACACACGCATACACAAACACACACACAACACTGAATGCATGTTTTTAAAAATATCCAACACAAGAATCTCTGAAGCATCCCTGTGAGAGGCAAGTATCCTACTCCCACATGAAAAGGTGAGAAGATAGGCTGGTAAGTCAGAGTTTTTCAGAGCACACAAATGGAGCAAGTAGATTTTGCACCACCTTAATTTTCTCCATTTCTAAAACCCATGTTCCTTTTCTTTCTTTTTTTTATTTGTCTGTTTGGAGGCCACACTCTTGGTGCCCAGGGTTTACTCCTGCTTCTGTGCTCGGGAACCCTGATGGGTCTCAAGGAACCATATCTAGTGTGGGGGATAGAAATCACGTCAGCTGCATACATGACAAGGACACAGCCCATTAAACCATGTTTTCTAATTTCAATCCCAACTTGAATTTTACTTTTCCTCTTTAATAATGTAGCACCCTCCCTGGAAAGGACTTTGAGAGCACCTGCTCTGCTGTCCTCATAGCAGTCAAGAGCTCATCCCAATTTTGGGAGGACTGGTCAAAGCCAGTGGGAAGCCTGCATGTTTCCTGGATTCTGCGATTGATTCAGAGATGAATCCATGAATTCATTTTATGGAACTTCGGAGATTAATTTTAAAGAAGAAAATTCCACTTCTCATCTGCAGTGATGGATGAGGAAGTGTGTAACATCAGGGTGTTTGGCTGCTTTTTTATGATAATGAGAAGAGGTGGATTTTTTACCACATAGTAGATAGAGCTGAAATATAGGCAAACATTAAGTCCTTTTATTATTCTTTTTCTTGAGGTAATGGTGGTTTGCAATGGTATATGCTTTAAGGATACAATTTCAAACTCCTTCAAATACATGTAACCACACTGCATCTACCAACAATACCAACTTTCCACCACAGTCCACTGAATCCTTTCTATGTTTTGATGCCCACTCCCACTTGCTCTCGGCTAACCACAGTTCTGAGGTCGAGACTAAGTTCATGGTGGTAGCACTGACTTTCTTGGTCATTTCTAACTTAAAGCCTTTCCTATTTCAGTTACATGAGCCAACAATTTTCCCTAAGTTTAAAGCCAGTGCGGCATTCATTTTATGTTATTGAAACCAAAAGCAAATCAAATGACAGACCAGGTAATTTAGTATCAGCAGGAGGGTTAGTGAGTGTATTCTTTTTCATGTCATTCAAGTTGTCAATAGAGATGTCAAATTGGATAGATACTAATACTGTTGCCTTCAAAAGGGTGGAGCTGGGAGTGGAGGTAAGAGGAATGTTAACATTTGTCTAATGAAAGAACTTCAAAGTATTTAGAGCATTCTTAATTGTTGATTCCTGAATGATAACACTACTCTTTCTGTACATTTTTGAGACCAACTCCTGTTTGTATAAGGTAATCTGGGTCTGCCAATACAGGAGTTGTCTGATTTCAATATATTTCAGTTACCCTCTTGACACTTAGGGTCCACAGATATGATCAGCATCCTATGCTACCATCTGGCTACTCAGACTTGGATCTTACTAGATTCTTCATTTCCTTTCCAATTAGATTGTAATTTAGTTCTCCCAAATCTCATTTCATAACAGTGATTCGCAAGAAGTGGTATTCCTGGGTTGTATGGAGGCTCAATTTCTAGTTTTTAGAGGAATGTTCATATTGTTTTCAAAAAGGCTAGACAGTCACCATTCCCACCAACAATGAAGTTTCTCCCCACATCCACGCCAGCACTGCTTGCTTTTGTTCATTTGGATGTGCTAGTCTCAGTGGTGTGAGGTGATATCTCATTGTTTTGATTTTCATCTCCCTTATGATTAGTGATGTGAAGCATTTTTTCATGTGCATATTGACCTGTTCTGCCTCTTCTATTTTGATGCTAGAGCACATAAATCCTTTTGGTAGGATTTTAAAAATCTGACTAGAATTTCACTGGGTACAAACAGAGATAGTATATCTAATACCATACAAGTCACATCATGTGTCCAAAAAAATGACAGGATTCCCAATGATATATTCTCATGGCATTCATTTTACTCCATTCCACCACCATATGTACAAAATGAGCCCTAGTTGAGTATTTTACCGTAAATTGTATTACTATTTCCTTCTGTGATTTTATTGTTGCAGCCTAGATGCTTGTGAGATGTTGATTTTCTGCTAACTCAGTGTCATTATGGTGTGTTCATTTCCCACAGGTTATCATTGCCCTTTCAGAAAAACACCGCTCGCACATTCCTTATAGGAACTCCATGATGACCAGTGTCCTGAGAGACAGCTTGGGAGGGAACTGCATGACGACCATGATTGCCACGCTCTCTTTAGAGAAAAGGAACATTGGTGTAGGTTTCTGCTCCTCCTAGAGATCTAAGTATTGATGACTAGTTTGTGAGGTAGCATCAAGGGTCCTGGATGAACTACCATCTTCTCAGTAGAGTGGGGAACCTCCTCGGGGTGAAGTCCCTAGAGGCTTTCCAGTGTTAGTTTATTTGTCAGATTATAATTACCCCATTTGAGAATTGACTTCATGCAGCACAGGATTGCCTGTGCACAGTTTTGGAAAGTCTGCTAATGGTTTAGTTACCTTGGCTTATCCCTCTCAGGGTTGTCACTGATGAGTAAACTGCCCAGGAGATATCTTCAGACTGTGTCCCTGGACACATCTCTGGGCACAACCCATGGGAAACTTTTGCAGATCAGACTGCAAAATGGCATTCATGCACTGCTTTAGAGACAGTGGATGTGTGATGCATTTAAGTTGAAATTTAGACATCAGGCTTTCTCTGACAGAAGAAAATAGAAAACAGAAGTAATAGGGTGCTTCTCACAAGGGTCATGCCCGAAGTGAATGGTAAGATGTATTTAAAAACCTCCTGCTTTGCTCTGTTAGAAATATTTATTTTGTGGTCTTTCATGTTTGTAAGTTATGGAACCTGCTGTGGCTATGATTGTATATATACGTATCTCAATGGAAAAATCAGTAGTTGACAAATACATGCCATTTGCCACGTAGGCTCTCAGGATTGCACTCATTTGGGCATTAGTTATTTTATTGAGCAAAATAGAATTTTAGTTTAAAAAATACTCTACAGCAAAATTTCCTTACTTGGATGTATGTTTTCCTCACTGTGTTTTATGCTCATAAACCTAGAGATGCACATCTTGTTTTCTCTGAGTAAAAATGAAATTCCATCTTTTAGTGCTTAAAGAATTCTCTTACATCCTTAGGAGTCTATATCTACCTGCAGATTTGCACAACGTGTGGCACTCATAAAGAATGAAGCTGTTCTTAATGAAGAAATTGATCCCAGATTGGTAAGCAACTTTGAATTATTCTAAAAACCATCCAAGGGCATCAGCCATTAATTCACAGTAGGAGGGCAGACAACTTATACTTGGGGGGCCGTGTTTACTTGCCCCAGTGTTCTGAGTGTTGGCACTGACCTAACAATTCTCACCCAATCTTATGAGCCTATGCCCCCACCTCCCAGTGTTGTGACTTGTTCAGAGTGACAATGTTGGGTGGCATCAGAGCAGATACTGGGATTGAGACTCGAGTCTACTGGATGTGCCCTGCTCCTAAAATATTCACTAAGTGCTGAGGATAATGAACAGAGTCCTGCAGGGTTATATTTATATTTATGTGCAGAACTTAGTCTTTTAAAAAGTTTAACTTTCTGTGGACAATGATAAAAATTTAAAAAATAAAATCTTCCAGAAAAAAAGTTCTGATCATTATTAAAGGAAACCATATTTTATATAACTGTTCTATAGTTGTCCTAGAGATTTTTAAAAATTAGTAATTGTCTGTATCCATGCTTATAGATTTTTAAAATTTTTTTTACTAGTGAATCACCGTGAGGTACAGTTACAAACTTATGAACGTTCATATTTCAGACATACAATAATCATTTACCCATCCCTACACGAGTGTCCATTCTCCTTCACCAATGTTCCCAATATTCTTCCCGCCACCCCCACCCTAATCCCCCCACCCTGCCTCTGTGTCAGGGCATTCCCTTTTGTTCTCTCTCCTTTTGGGTGTTGTAGTTTGCAATAGGGATATTGAGTGGCTATCATGTCCGTGCTTATAGTTTTATAGCAATGAACCTGGCTTTTATTGAAGAACTGTCCAGAAAAAACACATTTGCAAGTCACATAATTCAGTTAATTATTCTTTTTGTTTATTTGTTTCTGTTGAGCCACACTGGCAGGTTTCAGGGCTTTTTTCTGGCTCTATATGCAGGGACACAGCTGGAGGGCTCAGGGGACCATGTTGGGTGCTAGGGATCAAACCTAGGTTGACCACATGCATGACAAACACCCTACCTGCTATACCCTTCCTGCTCCAGCCCCATAAGTTAAGTATTCTAAGTGCAGTGATTTTTCCTTTCCTCTATTTTATTAGTATTCTATAAATGAAATATAAAGCAGTTGTAATTCCTGCCAACACAGAAAAGGTTGAAATAAACTAATTCAATTTTGTAAATTCCAGAATGAAGAGTATTACTTTTCAAATCACTGACTTCAAAGAAAACTGGCATAAGTTTTGTAGTATGTATGATTTTTCTTAAGACATGAGATTTTACCAACAGTGCTTCATTAAAAAATTTCTCAAATTCTTCCCCTCACACCAAAATCTCAAATTTATGGTTACCCATGTTAATTGCTTCCTTTTGAATGTTTGCCTTTCCTCCCCAGAAATCATTCCATTGCAGGGGAAATAAAAATGAGTGGGATAAGAATAATAGGGCTATCTTTTTATCTGACTTGCCTTAGGGAGCTTGAACTTTCTTGATAGAAATCTCTTTTGGAAATGCCAATGAATGAGGTAGGATCTGTTTCCAGTAAAGGCCCCAGCAGATCCTTGTATCATAGTGCCTCAGCTATTAAAAAAAAAAAAAATACAGAATTCAAAGACCTGAGTCAAGTGGAATTGAGCTCTTAAGGTGAATATTGTTGTCGCCCCCTGAGAACATCCTGGGGATTTTACCATTTAGAAATAAAAAGGCAGAAAGAGAAAGGCTTAGTAGCCTAAAGCCAAGATAATTTTTTAAAAGTAACACTATTAGATATTAGAAGCACATTTCTTTAAATTTGGTGGAAGAGATTGTCTTTGAAGGAACTTGAGGAATCTCATGAAAGGTAAACATTCTGTGGTTGATGTGGGTCTGTGTGAAATTTAAGAAAGGAAAAATCAGGAGTCAAAAGCTAATAAGTGATAATTGAACAAATTGCTAATGTCTTCCTACAGCATAATAATCTAGTAATTGTCAGGTGTTGTTTCCTGCTCTCTTTTATAATTTCTTCTAAAAACTGGCATTACTGTATTTTCTGAACATGTCTTTAAGCACAATTCACGATTGAAAATTTGTCTTCAAAACTATCCAAGTTTCAGGAAGGCAATAAAACACATTTCTTGCATGTGTGAGTTCCTAGATTCAATCATGTTACTGCCTGGTCCCCTAGGTACCACAAGGTTCTGATCCCAGAACACTGCTGGATGTAGAACACAGAGAAAGATAGAGACAAAGAGAGAGAGAAATAGATATTGTGAGAGAGAAAAGGAAAAGACAAGAGAGTGAACAGGCTAGAGTCTGGTGACAATCCCTGTGTCAAATTCTTTTCCAATGAATCATTCCACAGTTTCTATACTCATTTTATGGGAATTGTGACTGTAATACTCTCAGAACCATGAAATTTTAGCTTAGTTTTGATATTTCTGTTAAATAAGATAGAAAAAATAATTTTGTAGTTAGACTTGGCTTTGAAAACCTAAGTAGAAAATATGGCATTAATATTTAAAAGCACAGAGAGGATAAAAATGAGTAACTAACATAGTTCCTGTCTAGGGATTTTTATTCTGCATAGCTTAATGATTCTAGGAATATTTTTGAAAGGAACTGAACAACCAAAACCTACTCAATCCTGTATATTTAAATGAAACTCTAGGAGAACTGACATATGCAAAATATTCAGCATCATGTTCTTTGGAACTTCTGGACCTGTTGATGTGGTAAAGATAATCAGAAACCCACCTGTATAAAATTTAACAAGCAGTTTTTGAAATATAGATCTGAACTTTAAAGGAAGCAAGGGAATTCTCCAGAGTTCAGAGTCAAGGCTGAGTCAGCAGTTGTCCTGGTGGAGGCATGGAGAGAGTTGTAAGAAAGAGATACATGTCGAAGTCTGGGGTCCTTGGGAGGTGCATGTTAAAACTAAGACACCCTCTTCCTTACCCAACATAAAACCAAATTGTGAACCCGAAGTAAAAAATCTTTTCATTGGTATAAGAAGCTGCTAGGGAAGTTTGTTTTCTTCCATCTAGAATGTAGGAAGCATAGAATGTTCTGTTTGTTTGCTTGTTTGTTTGTCTTTTGCTTTTTGGGTCACACCTGGCAATGCACAGGGTTTACTCCTGGCTCATGCACTCAGGAATCACTCCTGGCAGTGCTCAGGGGACCATATGGGATGCTGGAAACCAAACCCCGATTGGCCGCGTGCAAGGCAAATGCCCTACCGCTGTGCTATAGCTCCAGCCCCAGAATGTGTTGTTTTTTTTTCTCTGAAGGTTTGAAATCCAGGGCTGTCTCTCATGGTGTAAATTTCAATTTACATGACACCTTTAATCTCGCAACTCCCAGAGGCATTAGAAAATGGATCTAAAGCATTTTTTTTAAGTCAGAAAACAACAATTAAAACTAATGAAGCGAAAGTCAAAATAAGAATACAGAGAGAAAAACAATGACCAGAAATTTAGTGTGTGTGTGTGTGTGTGTGTGTGTGGTGGCCTCTCAAGCAGTGTCCAGGGTGTACAAAGGCCATTCTCAGTGATACTCAGTTAACTGGGCTTGGAGAGTCTAATGTTTGGTTCTGGTGGTGCTGCCCAGCCAGCAGCACTCAGAAGTCACCAGGGCCACAACCAGTGGTGTTTGAAGCCTTCATGCCTACATTCATCAATGCCAGGACTTGAACCCTAAGTCTTACACATAAAAAACATTACCTCTTACATCTAAGCTATCTCCTCAACCCTGGGGTTGATTTTTAATAGATTAAAATATAGGTGCAGTACTATTTTATGTATATATATATTTTATGCATATATGTAGGATAACATTGGTTTGTTCTTTTCTCCTTGCCACAGGGAGTTTAGGTTTATTGGGTTACTCCCATCACAGTGCTCCCATTCCTCTGTGTTTATTTTTAACCTCTTTCTTTGTGCTCTGCTGACTTGTAAATATTGTTTTTCTCTTCTCCTTAAGTGATTTGCATAGTTAATTCAGAGCAATGGCCTTTTTGTATGGACACCAGAAGATAGTTAATGCTACGCTTTCATAACTTGGGAGTGAATTGACTCTGAATGATATTTAGCTCCTGGACATCTGTTCCCTTGACTTAAGCCTCAGTTGCCCTTACTTCCTAGCACCCCACAAGCAGGGTCCCGAGGAGGGACTGGATAGACCTAGGGCAAGCTGTGAGCTATGTGCTACCCTGACATTGAAGTGGGCCTGGTCAAAGCGCCATAATACTTAACTATAATTTAAGAGCATGGTCACAGACAAATACTGTCATGATCCAAAGAGTAATAACTAGATTCGGACTCTGCTAGGATTAGGAAAGATTAATCTGGCCAGAGCACTATAGTCTGAGTCTGTGGCGAGATGTCCCCAGGAGAGCCACCCTACAAGCTCAATGTATCTCTTACTGTGTCTATACAAAATAACTAATATTAAGAAGTAGAATTAAGATGTTAATTAATATGTTAATTAAGTTATTGAACTAAGGCGAAGAGGAACACCCCTACGTGGTCCCCCGTCCCCCCCTCCCCAGCCTGATGCCTGATGGGTGGTCAGGAAGGGCTTTGATTTTGCTACCAGACAGTGTGTAGTGTCTATCCCCAAAGCAGGGGAGTTGGGGGAGTTGAAGATTGGAGAGAGATTAGAGAGAGAGCAGGGCAGCAAGATGGAGCGTGGAGAGACTAGCAAGGGGGACAGAGGAGAAGAATGGAGGGGAAGAGTTCAGGAGTAGGTGTGCGGAGAGATGAGAGATGAGGCTGTGAGATGGAGCGTGGAGAGATGAGTGGGTGAGAAAGGAGGAGACGGGAATGAGGGGCAGTGTGAGACTGGAATGGGGAGCTTAGTGAGACTGGAACAGGTGCGTGGGGAGAACAGAATTAACAGCAACTGATTATCAACTGGCTTGTCCCTCATTTCCTCCTCTGTCAGCCTCCTGGCCAGGCCCACCCAGGTGGGGGAGAGGCCCAAAGCCACCCAACCCAGGTGGCGAGGGGGAGAGGTGCCGGGATCTTCCCTGTC